CGCCCCGAGGAGGGCTGCCTCCCCCCCGCCCGGGCCCGGAGCGCAGCCAAGCCCGGCTCACCCGGCCCAGCGCAGCTTCCATGAGCGCTCTTCCCCAAGCTCATGTCACTCGGCTTCAGCGAAGCCCCCTCGCCTTCTGCCCGGGTTTTGCGCAAAGCCTCTCAAGGCGAGGCTGTGAAGCACAGGGAGCCCTAAACAGACAGAAAAGCTCGAGGCATTGCCAAACACCCTGCTGTAAAGGAACTGAGAGAGGCAGGGCCCGTGCTGCCTGCGTTGAGCCTGGAGTGTCCAGCAAAGGAAGGGGCAGCCACATCTCAGAGATAATATATCCCGATCAGCTGGAGAAACAATCCATGTTTGGGATGCAAGTAAGTTTCCTCCCCCATGGAAAAAGTGAGGCACCACTTAACTATCTTAATTGCAGTATGGCCTGTCCTATGATCTTGGTGCTGCATGCCCTGCACTGGACATTATTACATTTCCCTTTTTTTTCCCGCACCGGTGGCCTCGTCTCTTCATTACCTTCTTAACCTGACCGAATTGCGAGGCAGGGAAAGAGAGCTTGGGTGGGGTACAGAATAGTCTTGTCAAAGGGACAAGACTGGGAGTTTAGTCACTGGGAGATGAAAGGAATTCAAATCTAGCCTCTTCCTCAGAACAGGACTACAAAGGCTCTTTACAATCAGCTCACACTCTAGCACTCTTCAGCTGCAAAATGGCAATAGGAGAATGGACATCACTGGAAGGATATGCAGCAGGTAGGTTAGGACAGATCTATCAGCAGAAGGAATCCACATGACACCAGCCCCTAGGCTTACAGTCCTTAGCCTTACGGGGCTGAAAAACAAGGACATCTCATCGTCCTGCTGGGGAATGGGCAGTGTGACCTTCCGCTGAGCTCTGTCCATGTACCATCCTCCTCCTCACAGCAATCCACACACGGGGCTGCCAGCAGCACCCTTGGTGCTCTCCCTCTCTGCTCTGAGCAACCGGTGCTGCTTTCTAATGGAGCCTCATGTCCCCACACCTCCTATCCCATACCCTGGGCTGCTGGGGAAATGTGCCCATTTCCCAACCCTAAAACCAGTCACAGAATGCTTTTTATAAGAACCTGCTGCCCTGTTAAGACTCCCAACAGGGTTTTTACTAGGCAAATGGCCAGCTAAGCATGGGCAATGCCTGGGTCTTGACTATCCACTGCTGGGCTATAAAGCCTAAAGTTCATATTAATCTTGCCAGGGTGATGATACTGAGATACCACAAGCAAACAAACAAGTGAGCTTTATAGCTTCAACAACGACAAGCTGAGTTCTGACATTTTACACTCCATTTGCTTTGGCAGGAATGTGAGATAGGTAATAGAGGGCAGAATTTGGCTTTGAAAATACACAGTAGCTATACTGTGACAGTCAGCCATTTTATCCCATCTACATACTCCCATACACAGTACATGAAATAGGGCACAGAAATCTCCCTGTCTTAGAAAAGTGTTGTCAAGGCTGAAGTCGGGCCCCTGCATCTCATTTATCTGCTGTGGAATAAGGAAGATGGAAAAGGAACAAACCGGTAAAAGAAAGGACTATCTCTGGGTCCAGGTTATTGAATACAATCCTGGAATATGAGATTGTTTCACAGGGACAGGTCACTCAAAGCTAAATATTTCACACCTGTGACTGATACTGTGTTCCTCAGTTTCTTGCTGCTGGGTTTGTGCCTCAGAGGTTGCTTTACAGATGTGCTGAGCTCTCAGGCAAAACTCAGATCAAGCGACAATGTTTTTGCACAGAGACAGCACTAGAGAATACTTAGCGGGTGGGGGGTGAAAGGAAAGAAACAAAAAATAAAACAATAATAGATCCTAGTTATCTTAAATTGGACACTCAATATTAATGAATAATTCTGGTTTATCTTCTCACACTTTCTCAGTTTACAAAACGAAGTTACGCCCTGGCGCAAACGCACACACATCCAAAAGCAGCAGTAAGAGAATACTTGTAACTAATTAGTGAATTACACAGACGCTGCAGTATGGAGTGTTAATTTAAAAAAAAAAAGCTGTCAGGATCTTAATTCTTTCTTAATAGCACAAAATAAGAATGTGTTGGGACACACAATAAAGAGTATTGCCTCCACATACTGAAAAAAGAAAGCATTGGGGAAAAATAGGGAGTGCTCTTACAATAACGGGCTTCATCAGAACACATGCAGAGTTTGGCTGACTTTGGGATATATTAGGAAAAAGTAGCATTTGAGCTTGACTTCACAACCTTGAGAATGTCCTTTCTAGTATAATTTTGGTAGCTGATCATGTGAACAGTGTGTGCACATGTTTGTACACAAACAGCATGTTAAGACATTTAAGACATGAGAAATATTTTATCGTTCTATTATTATTTAGAAACTGTATTCAGGAGATTCTTTCAAGATCTATATTTGTATTAAAAGTCAACAAATTATTACTAGACTGACATTCAACTTGCTCATATATTCGTTCTTGTTTCAATTTAGAATAACAAGAAACGTTAGGAAAATGCAGGATAAGCAATATGCTTCATGATTTAGAACTCTCCTGCAGTTCTGTAAAACAGATTAATTTTTAGTTGCACTATATCAAAGTTACTATACTATATCCACAAAGACAACGGTGGAAGAGGAATTTGCAGCAAATCTGCATTTCCGTAATTTCTCATTTAAGCATAGGCAGTTTTTAGCTAATATTGAAAACTTCAGCTCTGAAAAAAACAAATAAGTACTTTTTGGTTTTAATATATTAAACTAAACATTTCATTTTAACCCCTTCCAAAACACACATATACACAAATTCATTCATTCTTCCTCGGGGCCAGATTCTGATACCTTTGCTGAATAACACCGAAAGCCATCTATCTAAAGTTCTTGTCGAGCAAGTTGCTTTCTTGTATGACGGTACAAGAAGATTATTCCTCAATCCGACCATCTCTTCTTTAAATTTTATTGATGTAGGGTCAAGCCTTACCATCGAAGTTTAAAGAAATCCCAGTGATTTAAACGTTTAGCTGTTAATAAAGACTAGTGTTTTTCAATGGTGCTGAAGTCAGTTGTCGTGGGGGGCTGGAGGTACTTGGTGTCCCCGCGGAGTCAGTCTAGAAGTTATCGTCTGTATTGAGGCGCAGATCGGGGCGCCTCTGTTGTTGGCAACATACAAACACAAAGTCTCAACGGTGATATCACCTCAACAGCAATGGGAAAAGAGAAGTGGCCCAAACCTGGGATTTTCAGCACACTCCATGGTATGCGGTGGCTGTGCATATTCCATATATAGAAGGAAAGTGTGCACGATACTTTAGGTGTCCTAAAAGTAGATCTATCTTCAAGCCTTTAGTTTCCACCAAATACTCATCTGACAAGCCTATTGTTTTCCCTGTAAAAGGTAATTTCCCTATGGAAGGCTTCTAACTGAGCAGAGTTTAGAGCAGTTTCAGGGTTGTTTCCCATCTCCGTAAATCTGACCATAGGGGTCTCTTGAAAGAAAATTGCTAAGAATTTCCAACTGGACTATGTAATCACAGCGCCTGGTATCAAGAGGAGGGGGAGTGACATGAAATCACTGACTTGTGACATACATTCCTCAGCAACAGCAGCTGCTGCCTAATGACAGCTAATAAAGGGAATCTTCCCTTGACAGAGCTGCGTGCCTGCAGTGGGACTGGAATGTGCCCCAGATAAATCCACTGATAACCTAGGAAGCAGAGATCACACCCAAAGAGTATAAAAGACAAGCTTCGGAAGCGAGAGGATAGGACAAGGAAGAGAGAGACCTGAAGAGACATCTCAGAAGAAACAGCTTGAACTTCCCTATTCCCAACGAACCCAGCGCCATGGACACTAAAGGCTCATTTTCCTGTGGCTTCCTCTTGCTGCTGCTCATCCAACTCCAGTCCAGCAGAGCCAACCCTATCTACAGCCTCAGCCCTGCCAAAGAACTGGCCAGCATGGAGGTGAGGACTCTCTCCTTTTGCAAGGTTAAACTTTTGGGGTGCTTAGCAGAGTGTGAGGTGGTGTTTTTGCCTTTCTTTTGCATGATCAGATAGCCACATGAGCGATCGCATGCCAGGGGATAAAGTCTCAGTTCTTCACAGAGGTTCAAAGAAGCTCTATAGAGCAATATCCTCCAATGCTGGGTTCACTTGAGCTCCTGGGTAGCAGTGGGAAACAAAATTCTGATGTTGTGGGATGTCTGCTTTGGGTTTTTGGTTCTTTTTCTCTTAAAGATCCACCTTCCTGGGAGCAAAGTCCCAGAGAGGGGAAAAAAAATCATCACAGTAGCTCTATAAGAACAAATAGAAAACTTTCAGGTGGGCTCCTGTTTATGCCACTAAATGGCAGGAACAGTGAAGCAGGACAGCCATACGGCTCTAGCTTTGTGGATTTAAGAGAACTGGCTGCATGTGGATGGGAGATGAGGAGGTGAAGTGGAGCACCCAAAGTCAAACTTTTAGAAAAGTTGCTAGAGGAATAGTATGATCATTTAGTGTGACTCATCCAGAAAAGCTTCTAGAGCTATGAAATTACCAGGTGCATATTTTAATGAATGATAGAAAGCATCCATTGTTGCAGCACAATACAAGCTTAAGACTCAGTCTTGCAAGATGAAGACTGAAAGCTCAAACCTTTCCTTGGACTGGTACCAGTGACCAGCTTCTCACAGCATCAGACCCTGAGAACAAACTCCCTAAGATGATGAGGACAGTGTCAGCCAAAGCTAAAACTGCCCCATGCCTCTAGGCTGCTTCCAGCAGCTAGCCGAGAAGAGTGGCTTCCAAATGCATTCACTGTCAAGCAAACCATAAGGCTCACTCCTCTCCATTCTACTTCTAGAGATGGACAATTAGATTCCTCCAATTGGTTGAGCTGCCCTTGTGGAGGTTATCTGATCCCTGTTACACAAAGCTTTAAAAATTATAGAGAGTAGTACCCAGGAAGAAGTCACATAGCAGACATAAATTTAGCATACGGGTATTTTCAGGGAGATGCATGTTACTTTAAGGAGCAGCAATCCTGTAACTCCTGGTGAAAACACCAAGAGCTTCTCCAAGTGATGTCCACTGAAATAGCCAGGGGTGACAAGCAAGCAGATGGTCTTAGCCAAAAAAAAAGAAGAGAAAGCCAACTGCTGGCAAGCAGCATTCTAGGCAACTTCTGAGAACATGGGAGTGGACTATGGATTCAGAGGTGCTTTGGGATTGTGTACCATTGGTGGGTTGAGTAGTGTCTGTGCAACTCAGACCTTGCTTTTTTTCTCTGCCAAGAGCTCTTCTAACCTTGCCAGTAAGATACACTTTGGTGGCAAGCAGCTTCGATCAGCTCTCAGCTAGAGCTACCCATAGGTGGAATTAATGTGAACAGGGATTTACTGCAGAGGACAGAGCTCAAGTACCACCAGCAACCCTGGGATCCAGCCTGACAGTCTCCCTAGGGCTGGCTATGGAACCATTGATGGATGCATAATTGGATGACTAGAAGAGCTAGCAAATGACCACAAAACTAGGAGTTTCATGAAATTAATCCTTCTCTTGTAGGCTCTGCTGGAGAGACTGGAGGATAAGTTTGCAATGATTGAAGCCCTGGAGTCCAATCCTGACCTGCAAGAACCCAAAACCCAGGAGGAGGTCCCACCAGAGCTCATAGATGACAGTGATGACCAGAAGGCTGAACCCAGGCTAGCACCCAGCAACCCTCTGTCCTACAGGGACCCCTTCCTCAAGAGACTGAGGGGGCTGCAGATGCCCAGGATGATGAGAGATTCTGGCTGCTTCGGGAGGAGAATTGATAGAATCGGCTCCCTGAGTGGAATGGGTTGCAATGGTGAGTCCCACCTAAGCCATTTCACCAAATAGAACAGACTGCATCTGTGTCATGCAACAAGGGAGGAGCAGGTTCTCATTTAAGTCTTTAATAAGACACAGTTTGAGAAAGGAATTCATTTTAGCATAATATTTAAGCTAGTATTGGTTTTTCAAAAGAAACCCCCTGTATATTGATTTGGTGGGTAAAAGCACCGATGGCAATGGTGACAGATACTGAGAGAGAAACAGATTCTAGTAACATCTATTTCATGTTTGGCTTGCAGGTTCCAGGAAGAATTAGGACAACCTCCCTATACCCTACTCTGAAGAATGCTTTACAGTACCCGTTCCTCCCAAGATGAAAGCCGGATGCTTTCTAAGCTCTTCAACAGAAAGTGATTCCTATTTTTATTTATTTATTTATTTATTTATTTGATGTTTTTTAAAGAACATTTCTTACTCTAGCACCAAGAGACCATCTTTAAATAAAACTAACACATTAGACATCTATGCTGGACCTCTCTCCTGTCTGTTGCATTAAAATTTCTTGTATTTTCCTAAAGTCAAAAGGCCATGCTTTATTGGTACTCTGGTACCCACAAGGCTGGATCTCATTTACACAAGACAGAGAAAGTATGAACTTGGTAGAAACGAAAATGAGTTTTTCACTAGAGTTTCTCCCTCTGCACTAAGAAATTATAACAGATTAGCAGGAAAGAAAAGCTTGCTCAACATTGAGAGACCAACGTGAGTCCTCTTATAGACAGGGTTTCAGTAACAAGAGAGTCCTTTTGCTGGTATAGGTTATTCAGTCAAGGGAACTGCCACAAATCCCTCGTAAGCAAAATTTACATGAAAAGAAATAAGAAAAATCATAACACTCCACGAGTTTCAAGATAACCAGAGGGAGGAAAGGGAATTCATTGTATATGCTTTCTAGCACTGACCAAATAAAGGTTACGAGCATCAACAGAAAGATACATCATTAACTGTGTCTTGTCTCACTCTGCATGTGGCTGAGGTGCTGATCCCCAGTGTTTCTTGATGGATCCTCAACGGGCTTGAATCCTATCATGGTATTTCTCATGTGAGGGCAGGTGGGATCACTCCAATTACAAAGCAGCTTGTACATAACATCACTTTCTGGGAATGGCCCCTCATAAAGTTGTTCTGAACATGGCTGATGGGAACACTGCAAGTCTGATAAAGGTTTCATTTAAGACTTTGTAGCTAGATTTCACACCCATGATCTGAATTTGGCCCAAACCACATTCTCCCTCCCCCCCCCCCCCCCCCACAGGGATGTAAGACCGCACAACA